AACTAAATCTTAGACTCTAGTTTAATTGGTTCCATTCTATGAGTTTTGATAAACCATGAATATGGTCGATCACATCATTGATAATTTTGTTATATGTATAAAGTCGTGATTTGAACTGTTTCTAATACACAGTTCCTTAGAGCACATTAGGTTATCCGCAGTGATAATATTTTGATAGTTTCTTCTTATTAAAATAATGTAATAAAAAGAAAAAGAAGGAGAGAGAAGAGATATGGTACGTCCGAGAAGAAACTCATATATTGTAACATGTCCACTAATAGGTGGTTTAGTTTAATTAAAATAAAATGATAAAATCAAATTCATTGTTTATATNTGATAATATTTTGATAGTTTCTTCTTATTAAAATAATGTAATAAAAAGAAAAAGAAGGAGAGAGAAGAGATATGGTACGTCCGAGAAGAAACTCATATATTGTAACATGTCCACTAATAGGTGGTTTAGTTTAATTAAAATAAAATGATAAAATCAAATTCATTGTTTATATTTTTAAGAGACAAGTGTAGTCTCTCACCACTAAATATGTCACTAGTGATAACTTGTTTATTATGGATACCTCACATGTATAATAATAATTTAATAATGTTTATAATTAAATGTTAGAATGAGAAAAAAAATGTCAGGAGATATGTTTGAGTTGAATCTCTTGGCAATGAGAAAAACAATTCTTCCTTTTTTTCGAAACCCATCAGGTTGCGTTACGTACACATCTTTCGTTAGTTCTCAATTTAAGAACGTTGTTTTCACGTCTAAGTGATGAATCACCTATCCATTTAAATTATACCTCCCATTAGTGAACCCCACACCTGAGCAGAGTACTGAAAAGAGAAAAACAAGTGATTCCAATTTTCCCTAGTGGATGTTCATAGAACACATTTTGTGCTGATATTAGGGTTCCAACTTTTTATTCGGTTCCATGTAGGGAGACTATTTTGAACAGCCAACCACCTTTTAAAAGCATATCTATGTGTTTTGCGTGTGAACAACACGATTTTCCCCACTAACATCTATGTTTATGATCTTTTCAGTCAAGGGCGGCTTAGGTAGCGTGGCGAAGAGTGCGACTTCCTTCGGGGCCAAATGATTATTTTTATACAATTTAATTGTTTTTTATAGAAAAAGAGAACAATTTTTTTATATATATTAAAAACAATTTTTTTCAGAAAATTTTCAACATAATATTAAAATACCTAACATAGTTACATTAAATTTTAATTGTAACTCATTTAAGAATAAAATTTTTCCAAAAGCCATTTTATTTTTGCTACCCAAATACCCTAATTTTTTTAATCCAGCCTTATTGCGCTGAATTATATGTTTTATTGAGTTAGGAGAGAATATTATAATGTTTGGGTAAAAATGGCGACATAATTCTTTTATGTATTATAGAAATGAGATACTTTATTTCATAATTTTTATAGAAGACAGAAAAACAACATAAAACAGAAGGCTAGCGAGTCTTCCAAGCGAGAACCCACCCTGGTGGTTCCAAAACACTTCTTGTAAACCAAATTCCATCAATCTTGGCAGTCCATGAACGTAACTGACCACATCGTTGAAATTTTGAATGATATGCTTGGAGACTATAATAAAACTTATTGTTAGGTCCATGACTAATAGTGCATTCCCATCGTGTGTCTTTTGGCCACCAATAGTCCTTGAAAGCAATGATAACGGGAGGTGCATTAAAGCCTAATTGATAAGATTTAACCTCCCCCCTGTTATCACTACAGTCGATCAACAAAAGACTACGAGGAGATATTTGATTATTAAATACTATAGCGTTTTTGTGGCAACGAGCTTCATTTGACCCAAAACACATAGCACTAATAAACACAAAAACTATCAAATGATTCATGTTGTGGATTTGTGATATTATTGTAATGATAAAAGATGTCAAAACATATTTGAATATTTATAGCATTTGTATAGCAAACTTTCTTTTTTAACATTTTTGTAAAAATTAATAACGCATATATCTAGGGATTTAATTATATTTGGATACAAAATGAACTAGTCAAACATGTGAGTTTAATTTCTATAAGTATAGATGATTACTAAAATCAATCCAAATTATTACAGTTTATATTACTAAGAATGATAATATTATTACAAATAAAGAAGAACTCTTATAAAGTATCTATTTTTAAAAAAAAAGATTTCTTGAGAGAAAATATGTATATATTTGATTTTATTGGTCAACCTAGTAAAGTAAACAATCCAAAGTTTTATGGTAAAATTTATTTTTTTGGTTGACTATAATAGTCAAATAAAACTTGGTCAAACAAGTGTTTGATTATAGTGTCCAACCACATTTTTAGAAACTAAACTGAAAACATATTCAAACTAAATCTTAGACTCTAGTTTAATTGGTTCCATTCTATGAGTTTTGATAAACCATGAATATGGTCGATCACATCATTGATAATTTTGTATATGTATAAAGTCGTGATTTGAACTGTTTCTAATACACAGTTACTTAGAGCACATTAGGTTATCCGCAGTGATAATATTTTGATAGTTTCTTCTTATTAAAGTAATGCAATAAAAAGAAAAAGAAGGAGAGAGAAGAGATATGGTACGTCCGAGAAGAAACTCATATATTGTAACATGTCCACTAATAGGTGGTTTAGTTTAATTAAAATAAAATGATAAAATCAAATTCATTGTTTATATTTTTAAGAGACAAGTGTAGTCTCTCACAACTAAATATGTCACTAGTGATAACTTGTTTATTATGGATACCTCACATGTATAATAACAATAATAATAATAATAATAATTGAATAATGTTTATAACTAAATGTTAGAATGAGAAAAAAAATGTCAGGAGATATGTTTGAGTTGAATCTCTTGGCAAGGAGAAAAACGATTCTTCCTTTTTTTCGAAACCCATCAGGTTGCGTTACGTACACATCTTTCGTTAGTTCTCAATTTAAGAACGTTGTTTTCACGTCTAAGTGATGAATCTCCTATCCATTTAAATTATACCTCCCATTAGTGAACCCCACACCTGAGCAGAGTACTGAAAAGAGAAAAACAAGTGATTCCAAGTTTCCCTAGTGGATGTTCATAGAACACATTTTGTGCTGATATTAGGGTTCTAACTTTTTATTCGGTTCCATGTAGGGAGACTATTTTGAACAGCCAACCACCTTTTAAAAGCATATCTATGTGTTTTGCGTGTGAACAACACAATTTTCCCCACTAACATCTATGTTTATGATCTTTTCAGTCAAGGGCGGCTTAGGTAGCTTGGCGAAGAGTGCGACTTCCTTCGGGGCCAAATGATTATTTTTTTACAATTTAATTGTTTTTTTCTAGAAAAAGAGAACAATTTTTTTTATATATATTAAAAGCTATTTTTTCAGAATATTTTCAACATAATATTAAAATACCTAACATAGTTACATTAAATTGTAATTGTAACTCATTTAAGAATAATTTTTTTCCAAAAGCCATATTATTTTTGCTACACAAATGCCCTAATTTTTTTTAATCCAGCCTTATTGCGCTGAATTATATGTTTTATTGAGTTAGGAGAGAATATTATAATGTTTGGGTAAAAATGGCGACATAATTATTTTATGTATTATAGAAATGAGATACTTTATTTCATAATTTTTATAGAAGACAGAAAAACAACATAAAACAGAAGGCTAGCGAGTCTTCCAAGCAAGAACCCACCCTGGTGGTTCCAAAACACTTCTTGTAAACCAAATTCCATCAATCTTGGCAGTCCATGAACGTAACTGACCACATCGTTGAAATTTTGAATGATATGCTTGGAGACTATAATAAAACTTATTTTTAGGTCCATGACTAATAGTGCATTCCCATCGTGTGTCTTTTGGCCACCAATAGTCCTTGAAAGCAATGATAACGGGAGGTGCATTAAAGCCTAATTGATAAGATTTAACCTCCCCCCTGTTATCACTACAGTCGATCAACAAAATACTACCATGAGATATTTGATTATTAAATACTATAGCGTTTTTGTGGCAACGAGCTTCATTTAACCCAAAACACATAGCACTAATAAACACAAAAACTATCAAATGATTCATGTTGTAGATTTGTGATATTATTGTAATGATAAAAGATGTCAAAACATATTTGAATATTTATAGCATTTGTATAGAAAATATTTATAGGATTTGTTTCTTCTTGTTTTTTATTAAAAAGTACATCAAAATCTATTATAACTAATTTTTCATGAAATCTATGGGATATTGAATAACAGGTGAAACTATTTTTTTCCAAATTCTGTTTGTCAAATCCGTAATCCAATAACAATGGATTTTAATTCACTTTGTTGAAATCATCAATTGAATAACACTGGATTTCATGTCAGATTTAAATTCCATCAAATTTCATTAATCATGCATTTTAAAAGAGTTTAAATTTAAACACAATCCACTGTTATTCAATTGATGATTCTAAATTCTATTTTAAAATCCAGTGTTATTCAATTCATGATTGAAATTCAAGTTTTAAAATCTGGTGTTATTCAACTTTTAAAGATTTTCAAAATTATTTGTAATAGAAATAGATTTCAAATCATTACTAACGGATTCTAATGAATAAATGGCTGAACTTAAAATCCATTGGATATTGTATAGATTTTAGAATTCATCAACTTTAACAATCTTAAAATTTAAAAATTTGATGGATTGTAAAATATGTAAAACTGATTTTAAATCACTAATTGAATAATACCCAAATTACCAAATTTAAAGTCTAACCGGACTAAGATCGTAAAACCGATTTTTGGAGGTGTATATAGTTAAGCCCAAGCTCACTCACTAATTTCCTAAGTGTAAGTCGGTCTCTCTTAAACCGAACGCACATTTGAATCTCAATTAATCTGAACCGTCTTTCTTATTAAACCAAGTCAAAATCAAATGTGAACCAAAGTGAGACCAGGAAACCGAAACTCGTCGCTGTTTCATTGTTTTTGTAATGAGAATAGAATAATGAACGATGTCGGAACAAAAAAGTTGAGATCAGAAGATAATGGGTGAAATGGGGAAGGCGATAGGATTACTGATAAGCGGGACGCTTGTGTATCACCACTGCGCTAATCGAAACGCGACTCTTCTCTCTCTATTCTCCGATGTCCTCATCGTTCTCTTGTCCTCCCTCGCTATTCTCGGTCTTCTCTTTCGTCAACTCAATGTCTCGTATGACTCTCCTCTAATTCTTGATTTTTGTTTGACATTTTTGTTGTTTCCGGTGTCTGATTTGCGGATCGTGGCCTACAATTTTTGAAGTTAGTTGCTTTTGGCTGCTTTGATCTGTTCTTGTTGAGTGTTGTCTTTAGTTTCCCACAATCGTTTCGATTTTGAAGTTTCTTACTTGTTGCAATGCTTACTTCATTTTCACCACACCAAAAAAAGCTTCTTCTTTGATTTTATTTTGGTTTCAGAAGCATTAGTTTTTTGGTAACCATTTTTGATGATCACTCTTCTATATAAGTCATCATCTCTAAAAGTGTTATTGATTTGATGATGATCACTCTGCATTGATTTAAAGACTCTTGCGTTGGCATGATTTGCAATGCAAAGTAACAACTTTTTTTTTTTTTTTTGTGAAGGGTGCCTGTGGATCCATTAGAGTGGCAAATATCACAAGACACAGCCAGTAATATTGTTGCACGTTTAGCTAATACTGTTGGAGCTGCTGAATCCGTTTTGCGTGTTGCGGCAACGGGACATGACAAGAGGCTTTTTGTTAAGGCATGTTCAGTCTGGTCTCCTTGGCTATTATTACAAACAGAATATATACTTCTCTTAGATATCGCAGTGCCTGAATAGCAGAAACATATGCCATTTATTGATGTTTATGTTTAGTGACTAACATTCTGTAGAATCTTACGATTTTTTTTCAGGTTTTACGCATTTACAAACTTCTTAACTTTATTGTTGTTATTCCTCTCGGATGTTTCTTACTTTCAGGTCGTGATCTCTCTATACTTCTTGGCTGCTCTAGGACGAATCATATCCGGTATGACCATTGCTTATGCAGGTAAATGCTCCCAAATGTTAAAAGACTATACATCATAGCATTTGATATAGATGAAGAAAAAGAAGCAATGCTTTTCATTTTGTAAACCTGACTTTGACTTTTATTTTCTTTCTGTCGGAAAACAGGACTATGTTTGTTCTGTCTCTACATGGCTTGTCAGAAGTCTCAATCTACCGGAAACTCTGTACTGAGACGAACTAACCGAGAGACTTCTGAATGAAAAGAAGCAGCTTCAAAGTTTTCAACATTTAACTCACAAAATCATAAATCTGTCTAAAATTGTTTTCTTCTTAAATCTTCTTCCCAACCTTAACATGTTCATATAGCTTTGGATAGTTAACATTTATTGTACACATTGTAGTTTCTAAATGTAGAAATAATTTTAGTAATTTAATTTGATTTTTCTCATTATCATAATCAAAAATAGCAACTATACAGTAGTATTACAACTTGCAACATGATGTGACTGTAAATAATAAAACTCTTAATCTTTAAGATCAAAACCGGAGTGTATCGGTTTACTAAAGTACCAAACCGAGTCCGGTTAATCCCTTGACCCTTAGCTGCCTCCATCTCAAACAGAGGGACTTTGATTCAATTGTTTCTTCTCCCAACTTTCTTACACAACCAAAACCCTTCACGGCTTCGCCGTCCCCTGTTTTTTTCCGGCGATTTTCTCCTTCAAAGTCGCAACCTTTCTCTTCAATCTAAACTGGGTTTCCCTAAATTAAACTCCTTTCATGGTTAGAATCTTTCCGTTGAGTCTAAAAAATGCTATGGAGATTCACCTGGGTAAAACAGAGAACAAAAACCATTAACACACTACTCTGTTCCTCTCCCTTCCACACTCACCTCTCCCCAAACCCAAACAAAAAAACCAACTTTTCTCAACAGCGAGCTCCTCTAAAGCCACTCACACACGACGACGTCTACTCTCGATTAAAAGCCTCTCCTCCCGATCTAAAAACTCTAACTTTTTTCTTCCACTGCGCGAAACAGAGCAACTACTTCCACGACCAACGAGCTTTCCACCTCATGGTCACCGTTGTCCAGAGTCTAACTCACCAATACAAAACCATTGATCGAATCATAGAAGGCCTTAGACTCTCCGGCTGCGAAATCAAGCCACGTGTTTTGTTACTATTGCTTGAAATCTTCTGGCGTGGTCATGTGTATGATAAGGCTATAGAGGTTTATAGAGGCATGAGTAGTTATGGATACGTGCCTAACACACGTGCCATGAACATGATGATGGATGTTTTATTCAAATCCAATCTTGTTGATCGAGCTTTAGAGGTTTTGGAAGGGATACGTGTTAAGAAGTTCTTTAGCTTTGATATTGCGTTGAGTCACTTGTGTGGTGGAAAAGATGTGGTTAGGGTTAAGTTAGTTTTGAAGATGATGGTTAGAGAAGGTTTTTATCCTAATAGTGAGAGGTTTGGGCAGGTCCTTGGTGTGTTTTGTGGGAGAGGGTGTGTTGTTGAAGGGCTTCAAGTGGTGGGGTTGATGATATGTAGTGGAGTCTCTGTGTCTGTTAATGTCTGGAGTATGTTGGTTAGTGGGTTTTTTAGGTCAGGAGAGCCGGAGAAGGCGGTTGGTGTGTTTAATAAGATGGTTTGTTGCTCTCCGAATATAGTGACGTATACTAGTTTGATCAAAGGGTTTGTGGATTATGGTATGGTTGATGAAGCGTTTAGTGTGTTGAGTGTGTTGCAATCTAAAGGTTTAGCTCCAGACATTGTTCTTGTGAATGTGATGATACATACGTTTACAAGACTCGGAAGATTTGAAGAAGCTCGTAACGTTTTTATTAGTAGTTTGAAGAATAGGAATCTTGTGGCGGATGAGTATACTTTTTCTTCAATACTCTCTAGTCTATGTTTGTCTAGAGAGTTTGATCTACGTGTCACTATTGGTACTAGTTTAGAGATGGATCTTGTGATGGGAAACTCGCTTATAAACTATCTCTGCAAGGTTGGTAACACAGCAGCCGCGTTGAAAGTGTTCCGCGACATGTCTAATAAAGACTTAGCTTTGGATTGCTATACATACACTGGCTTTCTCATTGCTCTTTGTCAAGGAAAGGCACCTCGTGATGCTGTAATCATGTATAACAGAATCATAAAGATGAAGAACATTCGCCTTGATGCTCATTTTCATACTGTGATGATCAATAGTCTTGTAGAGCTTGGTGAGTATAGTACAGCTATTCGTTTGTTTAACAGATGCGTCTCGGAGAAACATCCGTTAGATGTTGTGTCGTATACTGTAGCAGTTAAGGGGCTTGTGCGTGGGAGAAGATTGGATGAAGCTTGTTCTCTCTTGTACAAAATGAAAGAAGATGGTGTTATGCCTAATGGGAGGACTTATAGGACTATTATCTCTGGTTTGTGTGAGGAGAAAGATAAGGATAGAGTGAAAAAGATTGTGTTGGAGTGCATTGAGGAGGGAGTTGAGTTGGATCCTAACACTAAGTTTAAGGTGGTTTGTCTCTTGTCTAGATATGGTAGAGACAGTTCTGAGTTTAGATCGGTCTTTGAGAAATGGTGTGGAAACGTTGATGTTTCTGATTCTTGCGAAGAGTTGTATGTTTCTGCTGGTTGAGTTTTGAGAGAACTGTATAATGTATGTGTACAATTCTTTCATGTATTATAGAACTGAAATATCTAATTTCACAAATATATTTTCTAACAATCTCATAATGAATCACTTGCAAATGTATTTGTCTACTATTGGATTTGTTAAATGCTGTCACAGAAAAGGTGTTAAACTACTAAGCTATGTGGAGAGGATCTGTCCATGTACCTAACTGATAGACTAATGACAAATAATGTGCATTTTGAATGTTGTGTAAATGAGTACATGTCTTTCAATTAATCAATCAAGAAAGCTACAAAAGTGTTTGGTTTTCGCTTAAGAAGAAAGTTTACCAAACCAAAACCAATTCTCCTAACTACATAACGACCCTAAGAAAATCAGCACCCGTCCTACTGAAACTCTCTAGCTGCCATCATATTTAAATTGCAAACTCAACTTTTTTCCCTTTTATTATGCATTTAAATTTATCATAAACTGGTTACATAACTGAAAGAGCAAGGAAACAGAAACATATACAACAGCTTTTTGAGATTACATCAAACAGATGAAATGGCTTCAAGCATACAACTAACTACTCTTATTCCATTTTACATTTCAGGATTAATAAAGCAACCTGGTCATGTCTATATGGTGTGTCTTTGCAATTGACTTGGTTCAGTCGTCATCAAATTCACCCCGGCTCGTGTTCATAACAATCTACAGATCCAATAGATCCTGCTAGCTTTCTTCTATTCTGATGAAACCCAACAAAAAGTCGTCGACTCTATATAAATGATCATTCAATAAAAGCCATAAAGGTCATAGCTTTCGTATAATTAACAACTCACCCAAACGCCGGTTGATTCTTCAATTAGTATTCTCTTTACCCTTCCTCATCCTCGGAGTGAGACTCTATATTTGAAGTCGTATCTGTCTTAGCCTCCATCAATAAAGGCTGCACACCTAAAGTAAACACACGGCCAAAAAAAAACAATAATGTTAATGAGAATATCAACACAACAACAAATGAACCCGTTACACCTCAAAGCTAAGCCTTTTCCCTTTAAGATTCAATAAATGTTATATATGTTAATATATAACATAAGTTAACACGATCAAAAACCAAAGATACGAACCTTTAAGGAAATAATCAGAGGAAGGCCATCCACGAGATGAATTATTAGTACTGGAGATAGATTCCTCATCTGTTAAAGGATTAGCCAGCTTAGCTACGAGCTGAGCGATCCCGTGAGTCTGAGATCCAGATCCAGGAGGCGGGACCCAGTACGAACCACCGGGAACAAACGGGAGCCAATCAGGCGCCGATCGTCGGACAACTATCCGGTGAACGGCGTCTTCGAGCTTTTGGATTAAAGGATCAGATGGGGATTGAGACGCGGCGATGTCGAATTCGTAGAGATCGCCGCGACGGTCGGAGGATTGGGATCGGAAGGAGAGGAGGTGTGTTGAAGGGAGGAGAGAGGATGCAGCGGCGGTGAGTCGGGTTTTAGAGAGAGAAAGTGAGAGGGAGAGGGAGAGGGAACGAGCCATCTAGAGAGAGTAGAGAGAGATAAACGGTTTCTGACTTTTCTGTTTTGAAAGCTGTAATAAAAAGAGATAAGACACGAGTTTTGGTTTGGTTTGTGGATAAAAGGATAAGAAGAGCATTTTCCACTTTTTATCCTAATCTTGTTTTAAAAAATTATAAATAATATTTATATTTAGTAACAAACTTTTATAAATTAATAATGTTGGATTTATACCAAAATTATATTTTTTTATTAATTTATTGATATATAACCATCTAAAATTTTATTATTTATAAAAAAAATCTAGTGTATATTAATTTATAAAATATTAATTTAAAAAGGTATACTGTATTTGTTTACATAATTTTGTATAGTTGTTTTGCATCTCGAGTGTGAAAAATAACACACCGATTAATGGTCTTTGTAATTGTCATTTGTATAATGATTTTCACACCTTTTTTTAATAAATGGATATTTGGGTCACAGGTAGATATTTTGGGCTTGCTGGCAAAAAAAAAAGAAAAAGAGAAAAGAGAAAAAAAAAAGATATTTGTGAGTAACCATTAATAACTCTATACTTATTTGAATATGAGATCTCGAATCCCTCATGTGACGTGATAGTTGTGTTGTGTACATACTATTTAGAGAAAACAAACACGCGAGTTGACGTAGAAATCAAATAAGCAATGACATGTTTCGATACTCTTCCGAAACTGTCTCGTTTCAATATCTAATCCTCGTAATTAGAGCTCCTCAGAACCACCTGACTGCTGCTGAGTCGTCTCGCTGCCGGAAAAGCTCCTCTTCACCTTTTCTTTAACCGCTTCCGCCGCATCACACGCCGCTTCCGCCGCTGATCTTGCAGCTTCCTCCACTGTACCTTTACTATGCTCGAAGCTCCTTGTCACCGCCTCTTTCATCTTTCCTCCTGCTCCCATTGATGCATCATCCTTTCCTCTAAAACTTTACAAATGGAAAGAAAAAGAACGAGCATTAAAAAATAAGTTCCTTGGACCACAAACCACGTATGTCTAAGTTAAGATCTACTCACTTGGTTTCAATATTTATGTTTTAGAAAATTGCTTCACAATGTAATATTTTTCACATATTTAATTAACTTAAACTTTATCATATATCCAATTATATTCTTACAATTTCTTTTATAATTAATAAAAAATTAAATTATGTTTTTAGTGATATTTTTGAAGAAAAAAATAAGTCATAAAACATCATACAATAGGAAACAAATAGGAATATAAAATTATATGATGGATGATCGGAGCTTGGTCATGTTCGAACTCGTGATCTATATTGAACTGAGGATACACTTACTCTATGTTTGGAGGAAAAGAACGGGCGTGACCACGACCTAAACTCTCTTTGAGTTTCGCCCAGTAATCATTACCAGACTGTTTGATCCTAGAGAACCAAACCGTAGTCGTTTTATCTTCCGGCGGCACCACTCTCTGGTAATCCTCGTCACTGGCAACATTCACAGAGAATACAACGAAGATGATTAAAGATATGCATAGCAGGTGGAAAACTTGCAAATTCACTAATTTTCCGGCCATGTGTTTATTTTCGTTGTTAAGGTTTTCTCTGTGTTTCTTTATCTCCGTGTGTTTAAATAATGCCGGTGAGTTGAACTTTAGGGATAAAACTTGTGGTAGACAAATGTATTACAAAGGTTACTGTTTGCTAAGGCAGGTCGGCAAGTGAGACGTGGTGGGGACACCACACGTGTCTAACGCGTGAACCACATAAAAGGACGAGAAGGTCGAACGTAAAGGAGGTGGGCTCATGTAAGAGACTTTACTATTACGTTTTGTACTGAATCCGATTTATACCTTACCGTGTTACTGATGTATGACTTACGACTTACTGTAGAATTGGCTCGGTACTTACGAGTTACGACCATCGTAACCATGCTAATCCGTATTATAAACAAGTAACTACAAATTCCAAAATAAGGACACTCATAGGGGCTGTTCGTTTCTTCATTCAAATGATCCATTCGAATGGAAATGAGCTTTTTGTTCGTTTAGACACAAAAAGTACAACTCATTCAGATGATCCATTTGAATGATTTTTGGAAATTTAGGCTTAATTTTAAAGTTCATTCAGCTTAACGAATTTGGATCATTTGAATGGAGATGGTTCATTCAAAATGGTATAATGTCTATTATACCCCTGTTGTAATTCACAAATTACAAACTTAAACATAAAATTATTCCGTGACACACAAAAACTGAAAAAATCCACAAAATCTCGTTTTTCCGCCAAATCCGAAAATCTCGTTTTCCCACCAAAATCACAAAATCTCGTTTTCTCGCCAAAATTACAAAATCTCGTTTTCCCTAAAAAACCGAAAAATCTCGTTTTCCCGCCAAATCCGAAAATGTCGTTTTCCCGCCAAAATCACAAAATCTCATTTTCCCGCCAAAATCACAAAATCTCATTTTCCCGCCAAAATCACAATATCTCGTTTCCCGACAAAATCACAAAAATAAAAAACCGAAAAATCTCGTTTTTCCGCCAAAACAGCAAAAATGCATTTTCCCGCATTGTTGGAGGTTGATTTAGTTTAAATACATTTTAGACTAAATAATATTAATTAGTATAGTTATAATTAATATCAAACATATGATTAAATCAAAACAAGGGTATATATGTAATTTGTTTATCAAACTCATTTGAATGGAAATAAAAAAAAAAGAAACAAACATGAAATTCATTCAAATGGTTCATTTAGATGACTCATCTAGATGGAAAAACGAACAATCCCTAAAATCTGGATGGATCATTTAGATGGATCACATAGATGGATCAGTTGAATGGAGATTATAAATGGAGAAACGAACAGCCCTTACCATCTCAGGAAGTGTTAGTTGAGCTGGTGAATATCATTTCAGATATTAGCGTCGCTGGAGAATTCGACAAGTAATTAATTGGTTTTAATGTCTCTTTGTGCTCATGTCGCTTCTTCGTTATGTACGTAAAACAAACAATAAAACGGGTTTGTTGGCTAAGTAAAGCACCACGTTTGCTCCCCCACTAATCAAGCCTCTCAGAGTATTTGACTATTTTCTTTCAGATCTTAATTTTTGCCGCTTATTGAGCAAAACCTCATTTTGATTGTACGTTCTTGCCAATAGCCTGAGACACTACTTGAGGCTTCGATCAACTAACGAGTCCAGATTCTAAAAGAACACCTCCAATGGGAGGTTCTAATAGTAATAGGCCATTTAAAAGAAAGAAACAAATTGAAATACCATCCCACATGACGACTTTTTACACCTTTTTCTACTTTTGACCAAAATAATCTCATTTATTTTAGTAGCCTGCTCATACAAATTTACCTTATTCACAACCTGTCAAATATTATCATCTACAGTGATTTAATGATTAGAGAGGATTTTTAAACACAGGGAAAAAGCACAAGCGCAAGCACATTTGAAGAAAGTTGGTTTGCAAATATGGGTATACGAGTCTTAAATCACCTCCCCCTAGTAGTTATACATAACCAGAGAGTACAAACCCTTTTTCCATGTTTTAGGAAAAATGATTCGGATAACACCTTGAGATAGAGCGTTTCACCATATATAATGTTATTTTAAATGACAATGGTCTTTCTCGTTTTGCACTTCCCCCATCAAGCGCCACTTGCATACAGACGAGTCCACTCCTTAGCTGCATATGTTCACATTTGATATGAGACTTTACCAAATTAGAGAGGAGAAACAGAGATTACCAAAGTTGTTGAGTTTTTGGATGCATATTTAATCACCTGTCTCCACGGCTTCTGCTTCATTGCTCTTCCAATGCTTAGCTATGTTCTCAGAGAGTGGATCATCTGGGTTTGGTGCACTTAGAAGAGCTTGAATACTTGATTTTTCATCGGAAATGGAGAACCATAAAGTTTCAATAACTGATATAATGTATTTAGAGAATAGAGAGAGAGTGAATGGAATATAAAACTATACCTCAAGAGCACAGTTCTTATTTGTAGCGCAGGACTCCACTTGTCTTTCAGTATATCAAGACAAATTCTTCCAAGCTATATATAAATAAATAAAAGCATACACATAGATGTTTCATAAGATTGAATATTAATCATGATGGTAAGAGAAGAAAAAAGTAAGTAAAGATTTTTACAACAAACCTTGTCAATGTTAGGATGGTATATCTTGGTGAGAAACCTAACCTGTGTTACAAATGATATAAACCAATAAGATCTCAAACTCTATATCAATATATAAAAGCTTGGGCACCTTGTCTTATCTTACAAGTGAAATGCATCATAAAAGACCACAGTCGCCAATCTCATAGACCCATTAGGTACAAAAAGATCAAAATATTAAGGACAATCACCTAAATAATGTGTTCACGTAAAATTGTTGCGTAACACTAAAATTTACTCAAGATACCACAAAAGAGTAATGAATGCATTGGAGCCAAAAAAAATGTTGAGAAGCATGAAATGTTAAGAAGTAAAACTCACAAAAAGTTGAAGCAACTTACCTTGGGAGCTGCCATAGGATATTCTTCAGGCAAAAAGAGCTCCAACTTGAAAACTCCTCCTAGAAAATAAAATTGAGGATGAAAAAATAAAACAAAATATCGATTAATAGACATTTAATAATGAACGATAACACACTAGACTAGATTCTTGAAAAATTATACATATGAAAAAGAACACAGAGAAACAAATAGAATGTGTAGGTGACATCAGGGCAAGCTTCTAGATTCGTTCTTAATTCATAATTGCCACCACAATCCAGAAACCAACAAGTCTATAACTAAAGAAAAAAACCATTTGAGCCTAAACAAACATATTTGTAGTTTTAAGTACAAACAAAGATACATACACAGCAAAATTTAACAATCGCATAACAAAAGGTAATGAAATACGCAAATTAGCATAAGGAAGAGGCAAATCAATAAGCATGCATTCGTCATAAAACAATGTTAGAGACCTTCATAAGGAGACTGAGTAGGACCAAGAACCATAACATTGAAATATCTCATGTTTTCCTCTGACGGTGACGCACTTATCCCCGGAGCTGCAACACACATAACCACGATTCTCAAATTCCGAGAATAAAAATTCAAAATCCATAATTCTAGCTATTTAGAATCAAATTGTTTCAGCTAGAATATACAAGGATAGAATGAAGCGATGAGCTTACCAGGTTCACTTAGTAGACGTTGAGTTTCCTACCAGATCGGACAAAACAAAAAAAGAAGTCAGATCATAAGTTCCGATGAGCTAACCTAGAGATCGGGAAAACGCACCTTGATGATTCTTCGCGGAAGATTACTATTCGCCATTGCCGCTCGCTATCTGATTCAATCGATCTTACCGAAAATTAGGGTTTTTTTTTTGAGAAAGGGGACGAAGCTACGTCGTGTATTGTGCCCCCTTTTGCTGATTTTTATTCTTTTATTCTTTTTTAATTTTTTTTTTCTATTAACGACGCGTTGTTCAAACGCAAAAATATAAAGAACGATAAGAAGAATGGACATTATTGGATTGCAGCATTTAGTGTCAACATCAATAATATGATCTTCCTTTTGCCTTCTGGAGAGATTTACTACAAACTCTATTGCCCCCACTACGAACCGTGAGATAGTTTAAGACCATACTGATTAGTTATTACATTCTGCTCAAAAAGTGGACAATGAACTGAGTTTATGAGTTATCTGTCTAGAGGGTTTATCAAAAGATGTTAACACTTCTTCCACTGGTAACATCAATTACCAAGGGTTAAAATGATATACTTTAGTAAGCCATCTTGTTGGATTAACACGTAAGATAAAGTCATATAAAATCAAAAAGCGAAACTTGATTCTTACTTAGCTCTCAAACCAACAATCTTCGCCCTGTGTACACAAGTAGAAGACCACTATGTCCAGATATCATAAGGTTTAAGGAATGACAGAAATGTTCAGCAAATGCAATACAAAATTGAGGGGAACATTAAAAAAAAAAAATGCAAACATTGAGGTCAAAGATAGTTGCGATGTTTTTTGTTTTGCATCTGGATCAAAAACAATACATATAATATAGAAAAGGAGAAAAGATCATCATTTCATGGCTTTCTGAACCGAATCTGCAGGAATTTGATGCAATAGACCTCCCTCTCCTTGTTGATTCTTCTCCTCCTGTTTCAGTATTGATTTCTTCTCCATCTCACGCCATTTGTTGATTGCGAAAGTACATAAAACTGCGAAATCGAACATGTCAAAAAATGTTGAATGTACCCGATAAATAAATACAAGCCTATAAGAGTTTCGATCAGATCAAACTTACATCCGGCGCCGACGAAGATGACCATACGGAGAACCTTCGGAGCCGGTGGACCTTCCTCTATCATCCTTTCTTCTGATCGCTATCTTCCCTCTTCTCTCTCTAGATTTTGTTACTCAAAACGTTGTCGCTTCTATGTTCTGTAAGCAACGAAATGAAACCTAGCCCGATGACAACTTAACGCCACCCGACCCGGTTTGACCTGGTTATAAAGATATTTTCGATTTCGATTTTTGAAGTTACAAAATACAAAATACAAATTATAACGGAGAGAACTGGTTGACCACAAATACTTTGAAATCAAGTTAGCACATTATATCATGTATAGTCTTAACTCATGTAGATGTCTATATTGTTACAAAACAATAGCAGTATCAAACAATAGATGTAGATGGATGTCTATGTTATTACAAAACAATAACAGAATCAAACAGTGGACCTTGGCGCTATGATTCTCACTCAACAGATTTAAAATAAAAACCCTTCAGTTTGAGCAGCAGCCGAGTTTCTTCAGAGCAGAAACATCGTTCTTAACTTCGATTTTCTCCCCCTTTGGGACAGATCCATTCGCATCTTCACCTGCTTCAACTTGCTTCTTGCTTGTGATGCGGTAAATCTGTGTCAAAACCTCTGCGAAAGCATCCTCCACATTGGTGGCTTCAAGGGCAGATGTTTCCATGAAGCACAGAGATTCCTGCTCAGCATAGGATTTACCGTCTTCTGTAGGAACAGCTAGTAAATGGCGAAGATCAGATTTGTTACCAACGAGCATCACCACAATGTTTGGGTCGGTGTGGTTCTTGAGCTCCTTTAACCACCTGTCTACGTTCTCAAATGTTGCACGGCGGGTGGTATCATATACTAGGAGTGCGCCAACTGCTCCACGGTAGTATGCACTGGTGATGGCACGGTACCTGTCACCAGAATCAAACATAGTCTTAGTCAGTGATAAATTTAGCAAATGTGATAGTAAAGCGACAGACTTCGCAATGATTTGTCATTGAAGAATTTGCAAAATATTCTAATCTCAGTCCAATCCCAAAATCAAAATCCAAGACCTTCCATTACTAGTACAAGAAAGGACCTGATTTATATATATATATATATATATTTCTCAAGCTGTCAAAGATCTGCATACTGATCCCATATCCAAAATTTTGCCAAAAATAGGGAAAAAAAAACTAAATTGCTAGGTCAAAGAAGGCAGTGAAAACAACCGTTTCAATGAAGGCAACTCCACTAGTAAAGAGATAGTGCTCCTTATTCTAGTGAACATTAACCAGAAAAAAAAAATCACATGCTCTTGTTCATCTATGATCCATCCAATTAAGATTCAAGTATTCAACTCAAGCAAATCATGGTCTTATTTAGTCAAACTCAGACTTATTTTCAGATCAGGGACTATTATTTAATCAACATTTACATTATTAGCTACCTCCATTCCATAATCTATCCTTCAATTGTGGTCAAATACAGTCAACCATTTTAAGATGAAAAATAATTGACTACAAAAAAGTCAACAGAGAGACTCTCTAGTAAAATGCTGTTGAACACATTCACCACTCCAAAGGCTTAAAAAAGAGAAACAAGCATAGAAACCAGTGAATGAATGAATCTCATAAGCTCAAAACTACACCAAATGCTAAAAAATAAAAACTCCAGCGGCTAATCACTCCCTAGAGACATAGAGAAGATAAGAACTCATCTCTCTCAAATGATTCAATTCCAATGTATTCTCATGAGCTTAAATTCTATACTCATAGATTCAAAAGCTAGCTTTCACACAAGTTACCAAAAAAAACCGATAGATCTATGCAAAGGAGCTATGTGATCTTCAAGACAATGATAAAATCATCAACGCGCAATACATTAATTCCTCGAGCAAGATCTAGCTTGACTGAAAAAAAGATACGAACCTCTCTTGACCAGCTGTATCCCAAATCTGAGCTTTGACGACCTTATCATCAACCTTCAAGGTCCGAGTGGCGAACTCGACTCCAATGGTGGATTTAGACTCGAGATTGAACTCGTTTTTGGTGAATCTGGAGAGGAGATTGGATTTGCCTACTCCGGAATCGCCTATGAGAACAACTTTGAAGAGGTAATCATAGTCATCTTCCACTCTGTACCCTGCCATCTCTACGTAGTTGCTTGCTTTTGATTGAGAGAGAGAAGAGACGCAGCGTAAACTGAGATTTGAAATTAACTCGAGAAAATGGTGTAAGCTAACGTGACTGGCGGTCATAGCCTGTTCTTAAAAGATGAGAGCTCGTCCGTTGATCTGTCGCGCGCGTCGGTGACTATTAGTTTAATCCTCCACGTGTAATGTCACGTGCGCGATGTATAATCACTATAGTCTTTTCTTTTTTTCTCCTCCACCGAGAAAATATTTTAAGTATTTCGCCGGAGCAGTTACGGTTGTTTCGACTTTACTCTCCCTCACTAACGGTCATCGAAATCAACACTCAGAAGGTAACTTAATCACCTCTTCTTCTAGGAATCTCGAATCTGACTGTCTACTAACTCTGCAATCTCCGATTTGGTTAGTAGATTTTTTTTTTTTAAATTACATGCGAAATCTCAGGCTTATTTCTCTGAAATTCAGGATTGTAGACATGGATGATGAAACCTCGGTGAAAAAGAAACGAAGGAGCTCCGATTTGATAAGCAACTTACCAGATTCATTGTTATGTCAAATACTCTCCAAACTCTCTACCAAAAAATCGGTTCGCACGAGCGTTTTATCACAACGCTGGAGAAGCCTTTGGTTACAGGTCCCTGCATTTGATTTAGACTGTAACGATTTCGTAGTGGCGGATGATGACGATGCATTGTATTTAGATTATAATGTCTTTGTGAGTTTCGTAGATAAGCTTCTTGCCTCTAACAATAAGCAACACTTGAATAGATTCAAGCTGATCTACGAGGGATACAAGAAAGATGCTCTCAAGTCTTGGATAGATGCCGTGGTTAGACGTAGAGTTTGCCATCTTAATGTTCGTAATGAGACGGATTTGTTGTACTACTTCGTTGAGATGCCTCTGTCTCTGTATTCATGTGAGAAGTTAGTGGACTTGACTCTCTTCCGCGTGTTCTTGGATGATCCTGAAGAATCTGTTTCGTTGCCTTGCGTCAAGATTATGCATCTTGAGAGGGTCAAGTTCGGTGGTGATTCAACTCTTGAGACTTGAATATCTAGCTGTCCTGTTCTCGAAGAGTTAACCATAATCTCTGATCTCGATGATGATTCTCTAGAAACTGTGTGTGTGCGTTCCAAGTCACTAAAAAGGTTAAAAGTAGAGTCAGATTATTACGAAGGTAGTCTAGCTGATATTCTGGAAATTAATGCTCCAAAGCTTGAGTTAATGAATGTCTTTGATCACCGATCTGAGAGCGTCGTAATACACAGTATTGGTCCTTTTGCAAAGGTAGTCATTGATGTTAACTTTAATGTCGAATATGGTGATTCACTGGAACCAGATGATTCTTCCAAGATAACTATGGTTGGTGAATTTCTCACCGGGTTATCTACAGTCGGCGACATGACAGTCTCTGCAAAGACTCTGAAGGTGTAATTAAGCATGGTTGATTCAATAGCATTAAAGCTTGTATACTTTCTTTTGATCACATTTCTCAGTGAGTTATTTTATTTCTCGCTGCTCTCAGATTATTCGTGGTTACTGCGAGGTGGAACAGCTACCTCTGTTCTCTAACTTGTCTCGCTTGCATGCTTGCTTCCACGACACTTCGTGTGATCTGTTACCTACTTTCCTTGAGAGCTCTCCGAATCTACACTCTGTCGTTCTGGTACGTCTCATTTGCTCATGCTCTCTCATTCAATCAATCTATGATAAAGAAAACTCAAACCTCTCTCTGGTTATATTCTTGTCAGGAATTTGTATGTCGTCCAAAGATGGAGCATGTTGATCTTTCATCAGTGCCACAGTGTTTCCAGTCATCTCTTGAGCTTGTTCACCTGAAGACACGTTACTTTGCAGACGCACAAAAGGAAGGAAGACCACTCGCTGGAACATCATGTAGGATCAAGTTAGCAAAATACTTCTTAGTGAAATGTGCATCTCTCAAGAAACTGACACTGAGTGGGAGTTTCTGCAACATCATCAACGAAATCAAATCGTTCCCTAGAAGCTCTACGAGGTGTGAAGTTGTCATGGCTTAGTTATGCCAGATTACGAGGTTGTCTTAATCTTTGATAAATCCAGTCTTATATATCTAAGGATCTACTGGGGAAATCATGGTTTGTTTTCAGCCATTAGCAACTAGTATTCCCGAGGAAACGTTTTTGGCATTTTGGGACCACTTTTGTTTTCGTGTAATGTTAAATCAGTCACGGGAAGCTGCCTGATTAGGAGTCTTGATAAATTAATCTCCAAGGCATAAACAAACAATACTCAACTTTTTAGTTTGTGTTTGCGCTGTGTATGTTGATGGCTCGATGAATTCTCTAACAGTTACAGACCAGGCTTCTACTTATATCTCTCTGTTTTAGCAGAAAAATATAGCATGAGAAGTGATAATTAACAGTGTTTTCCAAGATTTTTTTTATAGACCTTGTATAGCCAAAAATAATAAAATTGAAAAGATAACGAAACTCAAACCAAATTTCATAGGTTCGAATTTGACTACGAATTTTCTAGCTTTATGTAATGTTTTTCATAATTTATAATAATGTTTTCTATAATTTTTTAATAGTATAATTAAACAGACAAAAATAAATGTTTGTAGATAAAGTTATATTTTTCTTTGTTATTTAAAATAATTTTCGAGTTGTTATTTGGGAATATATTTGTGCCAAAAAAAAAAAAAAATATTTGGGAATATATATTTTCCTTTTTTCGACAGATCTTTGAGGATTCGGATTCTCTTTACAATTATCTTTGAATTACGTATTTTGAAAGATACTAATCTTTTTAAAAATTTATGTTAATCAAATCTCATTATTAAAAACTTTAAATCACAGAAAACAATGATAAATGCTAAATTGCCTTATTTCTAATAAAAATATATGCCATTATTGTCTCCTAAGGTCTTCACGACGAGGACTAGCTTGACTTTATATAAATAGCGGCATTCACATCAATAGGTGACCAAGACTCAGAAACCCTTAGTTAGAATTGGTGTTCCTTGTTCAACACTCTTTCTCAATTGTTTTACTTGAGAGCCTAGTAGACGTTTGCGTTTCCAACTCTTTGGTACGGTTTCAAAAATTCTACAGAGATGACGTTAGAGAAGCAACCTGTTGGTGATGATAAAATCATAGAAGAAGAAGAAGATATGTTCAACCAGTTACCAGAATGTTTGCTTTGTGAGATACTTTTCAATCTTCCCACGAAGGATGTGGTTAAGGCCAGCCTTTTATCTCGCAGATGGAGATATCTTTGGCAATCTGTTCTTGGATTGGATTTGGAGTTTAATGGCTCCACAGATTTTGATAAATACGGTTTCTTCAACAGGTTCATAGATGTGAACAGTGACGTGTGCTTACAAAGAATTAAGCTACGGTATGTTAGATATAATGACAATGCTTATAACAAGACAACAATAGACACTGCTATTAAACAGAAAACTCAACATTTAGATGTTGGTTCAAGGACGTCCCATAAAATTGAGATACCTCCAACCATTTATACATCATGTGAGAGGTTGGTCTCTTTGAAACTCTACCGCGCAGTCTTGCCTACACCTCCCAAGTTAGTTTCTTTGCCTTGTCTCAAGATCATGGATCTCCAACAAATCGGGGTTTATGATAGATCGGCAATGGACATGCTGATCTCACTCTGCCCAGCTTTAGAAACCCTAACTTTAGACGATATGTGTGATGGAGGCAAAATATCATCTTCCTCTCTTTTGAGCTTCTGTCTTACCAAAGCTGTTGTACAATTCAGAGATTGGAAATTGGAAACCCCAAGGCTCAAGTATCTCAAGCTCTGCGGCCTTCATATAGGAAAAATCATTATGAATGATTTGAGCTCTATTGTTAAGTTGGATCTTGTTGGTTTGATTACTTTTAGTGAAAATTATCCTAAATTTCTTACACTGATCTCTCGTGTAAGAGATTTAACCATCTCTTCCGACATTCTCGCGGTATTAACTATCAATATATCTTGATATTTTTCTCTAACTTTTAAGACTTTGCTGTTTGTTTCTCTCTAACATATATGTTGTCTTATTTGTTTGTAGGTTAATCGTAAGCTCTCCAAATCGGTATCTATACCCCAATTTCAGAAACTTTCTTTCTTGAGCGTCAAGGCCATCGATGACTTTGGATACTGGGAATATTTGTTAGTCTTTCTTGACAAGTGTCCAAACCTAAAAACTCTTATCATGGTTAGTATTTCTCTTGTTAACCCAACTAATTAAACTCAAAATTATAAAACTGTCACACATACTAATTACTATATTTTCTTTTTACTCTCTCTACATTGCAGGAGTTTCAAAATTATCATCATGGATTAAATTTCTTCGACGTGCCTCAATGTGTCTTATCATCTCTTGAGTTTGTTGAGGTGAGAGCAAAGCACATGGTGGATATGAAGAAAATAGGGAGTTATTTTATGGCTAATTCAACAGCCCTCAAGAAATTCATTCTACATTTAGATCAGATAGAGAGTAAAGATTATGTGATCCTCAACGAGCTCTTTGCATTGCCAAGACAATCCATGGAGTGTGAAGTTGTTGTTCGCTGTAGGACTTTTGGAACATGCAAGCCCTTTTCTTTGTTTACTTGTGCTGATGGTTTCTCCTGAGAGAAAGTGTAATTTAGGGTTTGGGATTTGCAAGCCACTTTGTGTTCTATAAGTCGCAATAGTCTCAATGAAATAATCTCCAACTCTCCAAGGCAGGACAACTAACTCTGCTATTTAATTTATGTTCTGCTCAATTATATGTGGCTCAATTTATGTTTTTAATTTACTAAAATAATGTTAACCTGCAATTATATAATCAACTACATTCTGATGTACACTTTTTATTCAACCAAACATTATGTTTTCACTTTAGCTGTTGTAGAGGTATATGTAAAGTAATGTTTTTAAACATATAATTGTGTCCCAAGGATAAGATTTAGCTATAAACATACAAAAGTCCAACAATAAAAAAGCAGCCACATAAAAATAGGCATGAACCACACTTATAAGGAGCCATGGAAATAACTGTTCAGCTACGAATTTGGAGAAAATAGCACTACCTTATGTTGTTTTCTGGTCTCTTACGGAACTTAATACTACATATATTAAACTGAATGACAAAACAAATTTTTCTAATTTTCTTAAAATTTATAATGTTAAAAGTAAAAAACAATTGAATGTTTCTATCTGTGAACTATACAGTTCTGTGTCATAAAACTCACTTTAGCTTTTCTTATTTGTACTAAATTATACTCCCTTTGTTTCAGTTTAATTTTCATTCTATGTTTTTGTACACAGATTAGGAAAATAATTAATTTTCTATATTTTTCAAAATAAAAACACAATTACCTATATACCTAACCACTTTTCAACCAATGAAAAATAGAATGGCAATAATAATCAATAAATTTTACATTGTACACTTATTTTAAAACGAAATTTTTATTTTAGAATGACATATAATTTGAAACGGAGGGAGTATAATATACCAAAATGCTGGTGTGTATTTTTTTTTTAAAAAAAAATGCTAACTCGTTTTGTTGATTACCAATCAGAAGTATGCAAGGTGAAAGCTGTAATTGGAGTAATAAAAGCACAATCACATATAAATGTGCATTAGTTTATCTAGAATAAATTAAACACTGTATGTAGTATATACGAGCTCACCAGTTTAGTTCATATGTACCTAACCCAAAATTGAAAATACCACTGACCTAGATCCACATTCCACACCCTTTGCGCTCTCTATATATAGATCCGCTCTGGCAAGTATTCATTCACACAAAAACACACCAATATCCAAAAGAAGCCAAAAATTAGAAAAATATTAATTAATCTCCAATATTATCCCATCAGTTATACGAAATGGCTCGTCCAAGGATCTCCATTCCGATTATTTGCTTATTGCTTTTTATTGTAGGTTTTGTCTCGCAATCTTGTGAAGCTAGAAAGGTTCTAATGCCTTCCAATGCAAGCAAGGGAATGTTTCTTAGTGCCCTACCAAAGGGTAATGTGCCACCTTCGGGTCCAAGCGACAAGGGGCACACTTCTCCGCCAGAGGATTATTCCGACAAGCATACGGTTGCGGAAAACTCACCGGAGATTTACCGTCGACTAGGATCGGTCCCTAGCCCCGGCGTTGGTCATTAGGCACATTAATTACTGACTTATATTTTTATTTTCGATTTCATCTCATCATGTTATCATATATATTTAGTACGTCGTCTTATGAAGACTGTGTGTGTGTGTATGATATTGTACCATGAAATAGATGTATTTGTGTGTGTGATCCATAATAAAAATAACTATTTACAGTATAGTTAATTGTCTTTTGTGTGTTTATTGTATGATACGTATGAATATGGAGGTAACTGCATGCAGGTTTTCTTTTCACGTTGCTAAGACAAAAACTGACAAATTTAAAAGTGATATTGTTTATGAATTTGTACTTAATGTTTTAAACTAAGAATATACAACAAAATCAGTTATGGCAGTATTAAGTATTTCATTTCTAGTAGGCTAAGAGTTTTTTTTATTTGTAACTAATATAGGCTAACAATGTGGTGATCTAGTGGTTCTACTAGAAGAGAAACTGTTTTGTTGGTCTAAATCGGGGATCGATTTTATTTTAATTTGAAATTATTAACTCCGCATGTGGTCATGTGAATTCATTGTTTATAACCCATTTGAATATTCAGAAAAAAATTCTCTCCGTGGACTATACCTCCCGTTCGAAGGTTAGATTTAAAAAATCTGGATTTATTTTTTAATTACAAAAACTAATATAAGCTAATTAATAGTTAACAACAACAAGTTCAAAAGTTTAAGAGTATGTTTATTGGGAAGGTACTTAAAGGGGTGCTTAGAGAAGTGGGGTACTTAGTTTTGAAGGGAGAAAGTGTTGAAAGTGCTTAATTAAGCACTTTCAACACTCTCTCTCTTCAAAACTAAGCATTTCACTCCCTTAAGCATTCTTCCTAAGCACCCCCAATAAACATGCTCTAAGTAACTCCAGCGGTTCTATTCAGGCCCGGGCTGAAAAATCCAAAACAACTTGGACTGAAAACACACACAAAAATTTTGAGGGTTTGTCAAAAAATAATGTTTCAAAATGAAGATGAGAGGATTCAAACCTATAACTCTTGAGATGATCACCGAAAGTTTCAACTAACTGAACCACAAGAAAATATGAAAATATTTTTGGCCGAATAATTTTTGTTTTTAATAAAAGGCTGGAAACTGATGTTTTCATGGATTGTGTGCATGGCTACTACTGTCTCTATTAGTATATTACCATATACTTTAAGGGATACATTTCTGGACCATATAATATTAACAATAAACAATAGAAAAAAACATTCTAGATGATGTAAATAGATTGCGTACGTAAGTTTACACCAGGAAGGAATCTAATAGCTAGTTACAAGCCACCTATTATAACTTTAAAGTGAATAATAATTCAAAAGCTTCTCTTTGGCACTTTTGTAGCAAAAGTTTTTTTTTTTTTTTTTTTTTTTTTTTTTTTTTTTTTTTTTG